GATAGATTTGATGGGATTGAATCCCCAGCGGAAGCGATTTATCGCTTTGTTCGATTTTCCTTTTGCAATTTAAAACACAGAAAAAAGGAAAAAGAGAGGGACTGAGTTTGTTTGTTTTTTTTTTAAACCTTTGAAGCTTTTCTTCCTGTAAACCAAAAGAACACCACCAAGGTCTTCCTTGCTATGTCCGGTAAAGATCCGGTTTGTGGGAACCAAATGGGAATGAAAATGCAGAGAGTAAATGAGAGAGATCTTCATTGTTCTGTAATTCACAGCGGAAAAAAAAACCAAAGAATGTAGAACTATTTCTGCATTCTTAACCAAAAGTGATGTGTGGAGTTACCTCATGTCACAACTCCCCACTCCCCTGTAGTTATGAAGGGGAGTTAAATGATTAATTAATAATAAATAATTAAAAATTAATTAATTAGTTAATTAATTTAATTAACAATTATTAATTTAATTAATAATTATTGTTGATGCAGAAATTTGGTCTTCTAGGATCTCGCCAAACTCGCATCAATGTTCTAGAATAAAAGGGATCTATGAGACCTACAAAATAGAATAGCACTAAGATTAATGTGGCTCTAGCCACACGGGCTCTGATGCTTCAGTTAGAATCAGAGTAGTTGAGTATAAAGTGTAGGGTGTTGCGAACATACTTTTAGACTTTAGCTTACTCTTCTATTTATAGAGGTCGAATCCTAATCCCTTCGGATTTAAATCAGTTGAATCATATTCCCTTTAAGATTTACATAATTTGAATACTAATGCACTCAAGAGATCTAAAAGGAGTGGGCTGGGTCTGTTCGTTTCATTGTGAACTTAAGGTCACTTCCGCATTTGGGGATGCCCGACACACGTGCTCATGACTAACCCAAAGAAACTGGAACCACGTTCGAGATTATAAACCACGAAGTAAGGTAGTGATAAACGAGATTTCTGAAGAGGCTACAAATATCTCAACAACAGTTTTTGATCAAGCTAGCACTTCAACAAGAGTTGTTGATGAAACCAGTACATCACGTCAGTCACATCCACCTCAAGAATTGAGGGTGCCTCGACATAGTGAGAGAGTTGTGTCACAACCAGACCGCTACGTGGGTTTAACTGAAACCCAAGTTGTCATACTTGATGACGGCGTAGAGGATCCATTGACCTACAAACAGGCAATGCAAGATGTGAACAATGACAAATGGGTCAAAACTATGGACTTGGAAATGGAGTCGATGTATTTCAATTCCATTTGGAAACTTGTAGATCAACCTGATGGGGTGAAACCCATAGGGTACAAATGGATCTATAAGTGAAAACGAGACGTCGAAGGTGTAACGCCCCAGGATTTTCAACATTCAAACAGGGAACGTTACTAAAAGCCACTTAAAAAGTATCACTCTACTAGAGAACTAAACCACTAAAAATACAAATTTTGACAATTCTCACCACGCTTCTGCTACGCTACTCTAATTAATAACACTTACATAAGCTGGCACTAAAAACAAGAAACAATGCCAAAGTTCTAACGAACTCAAATCCTTCTCAATTAATAATTTAGTACCAATCCAACCTTATAGAAATTTTTCACCGCAATCTTCACTAATCAAAAACCATCCATTACACAAAACTAACTTTCTCGAATAGCAACAAAGAGAAGGCTAATTCAAGTTCAGCTTGAACAAATGTATTATCCTGATAACTATCCTCAATAGATCACATCATCAAAGTTCAAGTAGCTACATAAATGTATGCCCTCAAAAGAATAGTGCACTGTCAGCCCTATCACATCCTTTAAGAAAAATTGGAACTTAACAACCCAATTTAATAATCTCCAAATATACTCAGTTACAAATAAACAACTATAACTATCCTACCCAAATGGAAACTTAACGACGCAGCGTTAAATGGTCTCTCTAGTCAAATCTCCTCCTCACCATCACCATCCCAAGAGCTAGCTCGATACCTGCAAAACTGGAGGGGAAAAAGAGGGATGAGTACAACCATAGTACTCAGTAAGCAATCCTTATCTGGGGGTCACGCACAAACAGCATGTTTATCAAAGGATCAACACATCATGTTTATCATTAATCTCGAGCCTTAAATAAAAGAAACATATTTCAAGAAGCAGTTTATGTATAAGTTTTAACTAAAAATGTACCATACATGTC